TTTTACAATTAAAAAAAAAAATCACTTTATCACAGTAAAAACAACACAAGATCCCAATCATAAACAGGCACCATGACCAAAAAAACAGAAAAAAAATAATAAACAACTTTTATTTCATTCTTTTCTGTTGTTTTTTTTAAAAAGATTTTTTTTATTTCAATCAAATTGAAGTGTTTGCACAGTTATGATAATGATGCTTCTGTTGATCACTCACTCCCTCCTTCAATCCCCTCAATCATCCACTCACTATTCCCCAGGGTCCGTTCAGGATCTTGGAGGTCACGTGGAAAAGCTCAACAGAAAACTTCAGGAACTCATCCTCGTACTCAAAGTGTTTGCCAAACAGAACCTGGCAGATGATGCAGGAAGCGGCATTGTGGAAGAGCAGATGTGGATCCATGGTCCCACCTGACAACAAACGGACAAAAAACACAATTATATTTTATATATATATATATATAATAGTTATACATTTAAATCAATAAAAATCTAAACTTAAAATTATCACGAGTTGTCACATTTTCAAAGGGTGTATAGGAAGAGGTCTACATGATTAAAACCTGCCCTTTCTCCCATATTTTTATTTCCGGTTTGCTTAATGCTAATGCTAATACAATTAAGTTAAACAATTTAACATACGTAGATTATCTTATAGAAGACGACATATACAAACAGAGAAAACAAAAACACACAAATAGTTAACTAAAGTTAAATTAGACAAAATGATAAACAATGACATAAATATATTAAATATTATATTCTCTTGTGACTGCCGTCGGCCATTTTGCCCTTATCCACCATTACGTATGACTCAGACTATTTTAAAAAAATGACACAGAGCGAAATACATAATTTAATATTAAGACGTATTTTATCATCATTTTCAATTGGTTCTACACACTTATTTCCGGCCATGTTTTTATTAGAGCCTGTGTCTCTGCCGGTGTTAGTGACTCAAACAACTGTTCTTGAAGAATTCCAACAGTTCCAATAATGTTGGGACGGAGAAGAGATTTTATTTTAAAAAGTCAGTTGTTGGATCTCTTTTTATCATCACTGTCAATATTTGAAAGTGAACCTCTGTAAACGTTTGACGTACCAGCGTTCTCTTCCAGAACCTTTGTGACGTGACTGATCTCTGCCAGGATCCTCTGCTCCATGGACTGTTTGCCCAGACCAAAGTTCCTCAGGGTCATTAGACTGAAGCGGCGCTGCTCCTTCCAGATTGGGGAGTAATCTGCCAGAACCACTCCTGGAGCATGAGCTGAACACAGTAGCAGGTACACATTCAATCATATGTGAAGTTTATATATATAGAAAAAGAAAATCACGTCATAAGTTAAGCATGCATTTGACGATAGTGGCCAGCAGAGGGAAGCAAAGAATTTTTTTTAGTCTTCCATAAAACTTAAAATTAGGCTATAATTGTTTTAAAATACTGACACATATCTTTCAAATAAGTCAAGGGATATGTTGAATATTTAAAAATAAAATATCAGAAAATAAGAGTTTCTTTTACAATAAAACATCTTAAACCTCGCATGATAAAGTCATGCTGCAGAAAGTATAGTAATCCTGCAAATTTTGCCTGGTACCTTGGACCTGGAAGGCATAATTGAACATGATGTCCTGTGGTTTTCCGCAGAAATCGAAAGCTTTGCTGACAAGGGTTTCTTTAAAGGCCTCTAGACCGTTGACAACAACCAGAGGTCTTGACCCAAAGAAGATGCTGTAGACTTTGCCATATTTCTTAGTCAACTGTGACACAGAATAAAACACATTTATTACACAGTGACAGACAGTACAAAGTCGTACTTTAGTCTAATGAGGAATACACATTGAAAACAAAATATCTGGTGGCACTAAGTTAGTTTATGGACATGTATCGGTAACGTTACCCTCTCCAGATCTTTGATGGGACTCTTCAGGTTGAGCTGCAGCACATTTCCAAAGATGGGGATGACCCTGGGTCCTGGGGGGAATTTCTCACCCCTCTGACCCTGGAGGAGGAACAGAAGCAGCAACACAGCCACAAAGAGCATAGCCAAGGAGGCCAACATGGTGACGTGGTGGTGGTTGTCGTTCCACTGAGTCCTTCTGCTTCTGCTCTTTAGTTGCAAACACAAACAACCTTTGTACATGCTGAGTCACACTGTTGTTGTTGGTTTTTTGGTTGTTTTTTTTAATTCAACCCGAGCAATGATTATATAAAAACCGGGGTCATATCATGTCACGGCTGGACATGAGATGATGGTTGTGGATGTTTTTCACCTGGTGAATGATTCCTACTTTTTGTTGATAATAAATGAAAGCTGGTGTGATGGTGAAATCGGTCAAATAAAATGCTCACCTCCAGTCCTGTCCAGCCCATACTGGCTGCACCAGGTGTAGGATGCATAAGGTGCAGCCCTCTAACTGGGGTCATAGTAAAAGAGCCAAACACTGCCATTGAGGTCCAACTTTGACCAATCCGCTCTCGTCTGCACCTACTTTGACGCAGGACATCAATTGATTTTATGTAAATTACTTTCAGTTGACGATACGATATTATTCAAGTTTTTTTTAATAAATAGCATTTATTCATCTATATCTCCTTACCCAACCAGGGTGTGGGATCCTTTAACCACTCTGTCCCAGAATGCCCAGACCATTTTTTAACATTGGGAAACAAACCCATGACCTCCTGGGAAATAAATATATATATATATATATATATGGTTTAGTTTAATTTCACACAGACAAACAACCTTTGTTCCAGTGGTCAAAGGACCTAACTTCACATTTCATTTCAGTCCCAGTAAGTTGATCCATTCCTTTGTCTTTTAAAATCCCCTTTACTTTGGAAAAAACAAACAATCAGACGTTAAATTGGTTAATATTGATTTTTTTTTTATTACTGCATCTAGACAATCATCACATGTCCTTAATGGTGACATACAGTTTATTTCTTCAGCTCAAACTCTTATCAGATCATTAGCATGACATTGGCTGACGATGTCTTTTAAAATTCATTGTTAAAAGTCTAATTCTCAAAAGTCGTTTCTTGCTCTGCTGATTCAATCACACCCAAACCCCTTCTTGTCCCTGATTTGAGGAAATAAACGCCAACCATCTCTGTTGTCTCAGCTGCGACTGCAGACCGTTTTTCTTTTTACTGTGTTGCCCTGAGTTGGACCTTCATGCGGTACGGTTTAGGTGTGAGTGTGACTCCATAGACTGGAGTGAAGTCGGGTTTTCCATCTTCTTCAGGCCAGATAAAGTCAAACTTCCTCAGCAGAGTGGTCATGATGAGGAACAGCTCCATACGAGCCAGACCTTCTCCAAGACACATGCGAGGACCTGAGGTATATGAACATAAGAGGGAAATGTTTTTGACTGACTGCTGATATTACAGTGGTACTGATGCTGCTCATCTGTGTTTACCTGCAGAGAAGGGCAGGAAGGCATCAGGTTTGAAGAACTCCCCCTTGTCATTGAGGAAGTTTTCAGGGTTGAATTCATGGGGGAATTTCCACTGTCCGTCCTCATTGAGGGCTGTGCCCAGGTTTGGGATGATCATGGTTCCCTGGGTAAAACAATGAACCATTACAAGAACTGGTCGAGCAAACTGCAGGTAAAAGAGACGTGTTGGTGCACAGCAGGGTGGGGTTCACTGACCTTAGGAATGAAATATCCCATGAGCTCTGTGTCTTTAGACGTTTCATGGAAGACACTGAGTGGAACTGTGTTGGCTACTCTCTGAGATTCATGGATCACAGCCTGAAGTGGAAAAAGTGAATGGTTTGTTAGTTGTTAGTTAACATACTTAATTAAATATAAAGAAAATATGTTTATGTACATTTAGGATTTACCTGCATGTAGGGCATGTCGTGTCTGTCTTCAAAAGTCACCTGACCTTTCCCACACAGCACTGTGTCTATTTCCTGTTGACAACGTTCTGAAAAAAAACAGGATTAAACAATAACTGAATAATATTGCTTTCCAAAACATATTGCATTTTTGATCAATATTTTTTTCATGGATTATATCAGAGCTACAAAAGGTCTGGACACAAAGACATACCTTGGACATGAGGGTTGGCCAGGAGCTGGAGGAACCCAGTGAGCAAAGTGTTAGAGGTGGTGTCTGTCCCAGCAAAGTGGAGATCCAGGAGATTACCTTTGAGAAAGTCTTCTGAAAACTCTGAGCCTTTCTGAAAGAGAAATCAGAGAAACAAAAATCAGAGAGGGAGAGAGGGGGCGAGGGAGGGAGAGGGAGGGAGAGTCATTCTAACTAAACCATAAGTGAGAGAATGGTTCTTCAGAAATATCTACGATTAAATACCCTGTCTGAAATAAAGTCCAAAGAAAGTACAGTACTGAATGTAAACAACTATGAAAAATTCTCTATTTTTAACCAACCAGGCTGTTTTATTTGTGCTCACCTGGAGCAACAGCGCCACTTGTTGGTGATGGTTCTCTGGTCAAAAAAAGGGATCTACAGTTTACTAAAGAAAATGAATCTTAATCTTTAACCCCACATCCATTTACCCTCAAACACGTACATCAACCTTGTCCAGTTCATCCAGATAACAGTCCACATAGTCCTTTGGTTCTCCAGGAACTCTGATCTTCTTGTGCTGGTTCACCAAGGCAGAGACAAGATCGTGCACGGTCTGGAAACACAAGAGACAATGTGTGT